ACACTGTTCTGTGCAATTCCCCCAAATTAGAGGGAGTGAAAGTGAAGGCAGTGATGGATGACAGATTTCTGAGGGTGGGCTGGAGATACAGAGGGATTTTGAGGATAAGGAGCCAAGGGGTTGACCTTGGAGACAGGGGAGTGGTGAAGGGAACATTCAGCATTTTTGTAGGGCTGCTAAAACAAAGCACAGCAGGATTTCAGAGAGATGGAGTTCCAAGTGAAATTAGCACTGCAGTGTGGGCCTGCTGAGTTTATTGCTTGAGAGAAAACCAAACAACACCAGATAATGAGGAGGCAAAGAGAAGAGCAGCCAGTCCAGGCTGAGCAAGGACAGGGTGGGCTCAGCAGTGAGGGAACTCCAGGAAAAGCAGAGAATTCTTGGAGGGAGAGAGAACAGCAACAACAAAGGCAAATGCAGGAAACTGAGAGAGGAGCCCAGAAATGGGCAGTGAGGTGGAACTTACTTAGAAGCTTGTGAGGAAGGAGGAGGAGGAGTGGATGTGACATGAGAAGAACAAAGAGGTACAATTGCCTCGGGCAAGAGAAGGGTTGTGTTGGCCTGAGGTGAAGTGGGAAAGATTCCACGGGTTCTTTCTGCACTGGAGCAAATGCTGTGCTCATGCTGCTGAGGATGAGTGATGCTAATGGAAGTCTGGGAAGGAGCTCAAGAGAGAACCTTGGGTGATTATGAAACCAAATATCTAAATAAACATTCTCTCCAGTCAGGTTCAATAAGATCTGAAAGATAATATAATCTGAAAGATAATAATACTATTATCTGAAAGATAATAATCTGAAAGATCTTGAAATATTTGGTTAGTAATGTTACTGTGGGGGTGGTTTTGTGTTGTTTGCTGCAGCTGTGGTGGGTGATCAGAATGTTAAATTTCCCTTTTTGTGACCAAGGAAATAATGCTATGGTCTTCTGAGCACAAGTGGATTTTGTTCATTTTGAAGTTCAAGCTGGATCTCTGAGTCTTGTACTTTTACAAACCTGGAAAAACAAGAAAACCTGTTCCGAAGGTTCACTGGGCAGAGGAGTCCAAGGATTTGAACATGGTTTAAGATAGAAATGATTTTAAATACTTAAATGGTATGAGACTTCTGGTTTTTCCTAAGCAAGAAGAAAAATATCCTAACCTCTGAACAGTTGATACCTCAAATGGTTTATTAAAAATACAAAGTAAAAAAAGTGTTATTTTCAGGGGAGAGCTGCAACTCAATGTTGGAATGTTTTTGATCTCCAAAGGAGATGGGAATAGCCAAAACCAAGTGGGTTTGGCAGATTTCCATGAGCAGAAAATGTAGAACCAGTGCAAAAAAGGCTCTAAAACCACAGGGTGTGAAGAGGGGAAAGTGTGGTAAAAGTTGAGAATCATCCTGCAGATGATCCAAATGAGAGCCCTCACACTTCAGTGAAGAGGAAGTATTTCATTAATTATTGAATCCCAGAATTATTTAGGTGAGAAGGGACCTTAAAGCCCATCCAGTGCCAGCCCTGCCATGGCAGGGACACCTCCCACTGTCCCAGGCTGCTCCAAGCCCTGTCCAGCCTGGCCTTGGGCACTGCCAGGGATCCAGGGGCAGCCCCAGCTGCTCTGGGATAATTAATAAGTGAATAATGGGGACTAATAATAAATACAGAGATTGGGAACTCAGATGATTATACCCAAGGGGAAAGCACAGTGTGAATTTCCTTGTGTACAGTGTCTGGGACCCAGATATTTTCCATGCTGGAACACTGGGGTGTATTTAAATGAAAATATCAAAGATTTCCATAGTTACCTGTATGCAAGAACAGTCCAAGGTCCAGTTTCTGTAATCACTGGGAATTGCAGTCAGCACTTGCAGGGGTCTCTGGGACTGGTGGTGGTGCAAATCTGGGTATTTGAATGGCTCCTTGGGAAGGAGGTTTGGAAAAGGTCTCCCTGTGCCCTCTGCTCTGTCAAAAAGACAAAGTTCCACTTGGGAGCTCAAAAACCCTCCCCGTGGCTGTGTTTAAAGTTAAAATTTAATTGCCTTTTCTACAAATTTACAAATTTCATCTTTTCTGAAAGGCTCAGGAGCCCCTTGGAGCACAGTTGGTTTTATGCTCTCATATATCACAGAAATTGTGGCAAAGGATCTCGGACAGTTTGAGCGTTTTTCTTCTTGATACAAATTAAACTCAGTCAAGAGCTGAGAGGAAAGGTTTGATTTTAACAGCTGAAACTCTTAACCTCCTTTCAGGAGAAGGAAGGTAAATTACAGAGCCAAGAACCTGTGATAAAAAGCTGGTAATAGGGGAGGGAGATAAACCAGAACATCTTATACAGCCCTTTGGGGAGCCTTTAGAAGGTTTGTTTCTCCATAAATGTATGTACAAAGATGACTTTTTTTGCCCTTCTATATAATTAGTTTAAAATGTGATGACAGAACAAAATATCCCTGGAACCTGAGCAAAAAACAAAAGCTGGGGTTTGCAAAATGAAGGTGCTTTAAATTTCCCTGTGCAGTTTTGCATGCAGAGCAGTTGGTGCTGGTGAAATTCAAGTTAATCTTGGCAAGTTGATCTCAGTTTTCTGGACTAATGGCAAGTTTTTGAGCTCAAGATATTCTGCTTGGCTGGATTATCCATTTTGTGAGTGGAAGTGGGATCACTGAGCTGTGTGTTTTCCACAAGGCATTTAAAAATTATTATTATTATTATTATTATTATTATTATTATTATTATTATTATTATTATTATTATTATTATTTACTATTACTATTATTATTGTATAATATATCAAAATCATAATTATATATATAATATTATATAATAATATAGTATAATATATATAATATATATATAATAATATATCCAAATTATACTATTATTATTACATATCTGGTGCTCATTTTGTGTATCTGAGCCCATAGTAGTGTGAGGAATTAATTGCTTCTGTTGGAATATGCTGTCAATATAAGCTTTAAAAAAAATAATGAAAAAAAGCCCCAAAAATCAATCAAACAAATAAAACCATCAACCTCCCAACCTCTAAACAACTCAAACAGCTCTAAGCTGATATATTATTTATTTCTTTTTCTAGTGGAAAATTAAAAATGCAAAGTCATGTTCACTTTGATTTGAAATGTGAGTAAATTGCAGTTAGGGAGGGATTTTTCTGTTTGTGTTTTAACCTCGGTAATTACAGCTGCTACAGCAACAACCATTCTTTTGGAAATGGCTGATCCATGGATTTTAAGCCCAGTAAAAGTTGTCTGCTGCTGGAACTGCCAGGATGGAGCACCAGGCTGTAAAGGCTGTGGCCCCAGTGGTGCTGCAGGATAAGGCACTGGCCATGAGAAGAGACTTCAGCAGGAAATTGCATTTCTGCATTTCCACACAGCACAAGAGGCAGTGGCAGCTCTGGGGCAGGTGGGGATTTGGGCAGCAGCTGCATTTTGGGTTTTTTACCCCAGGTTGTTTTAAATGGTGGCAGAATCTCCATAAAGGAGCAAATCTTTGTATAACTCTCTTTGTGTCACCATCTTCTTTATACTTCTACTGTCAATAAAATAGATGTTTCTAGGTGGAATAATCGGGCACTGGTCAGGGAGGTGTGTTCTGGTGTGGATTTTCCTTGTCTGGACACAGCCCTGAGTGCCTGCTTGAGCAGGGAGGTGGGACTGGATGAGCTCCAGTGCTCCCTTCCAGCCTGAACCATTCAGGCATTCCTCTTTACACAGCACAGGCAAACATACATATGTAAAAAAAAATTTAAGTAGTGAAAAAACAATGCTCATTTTTGGCTTAAATGTGCTGATTTGCCCCTAGAATCCCTGGGTAGTTTGGGGTGGAAGAGACCTGCAAGCTCATCTTGTTGCCACCTCTGTCATGGGCAGGGACACTTTTCACCAGCCCAGGTTGCTCAAGGCCCACCCAGCCTGCTCTCACCACTTTTTATTAGTTTTTAGAAAGTCTCAATTATTTCAAGGTCATTGCTATTCATCTTCCCGAAGTAAAATGGAAATGTTTCAGGGTGGCATTGAGGAAAGAGGGAGCAAGTAGAGAAACAGGGTTTTCCTGCCTTTGTCACCATTAGCACTGAGGGTGGAAAGCCCTCAGGGCTGCTGTGGTGCTGACTTCACTCTGGGGGCTCCCTGGGGCTGTTTCTGTGAGAAACTGCAGCTGCCCCATGGCAGAGGGATTTGGGCTGCAGAGATGGTTGTGGCAGCTGTGGTGCCCTGGGTGCCACCCCTGGGACAGGCAGGGCTCTGCTCCAGGTGTGTGGGAGCAGCTGGGGTCCTTGGGAAGGGTTCAGCCCCTTGGTGCTGCTGTTTGGTGTTTGGTACAGGCTGGGAACTGTCCCCATGCTCTGATGCTGTCCCTCTGCTCTGTCCTTCATGCTGTCCCTGGTGCTCTGGTGCTCTGTCCCCGGTTCTCTGTCCCTGTGCTCTGCCCTTGATGCTCTCTCTGTCCCTGAAGCTCAGTTCCTGATGCTCTGTCCCTCATGCTGCCCCTGATGCTCTCTCCGTCCCTGGTGCTCTGGTGCTCTGTCCTTGGTGCTCTCTCTGTCCCTGATGCTCTGGTGCTGTCCCTGAAGCTGTCCCTATGCTCTGTCCCTGGTGCTCTCTCTGTCCCTCATGCTCTGTCCCTCGTGCTGTCCCTGAAGCTCTGCCCCTGGTGCTCTCTCTGTCCCAGAAGCTGTCCCTGTGCTCTGTCCCTGATTCTGTCCCTGTCCCTGTGCTCTGTCCCTGAAGCTCTGCCCCTGGTGCTCTCTCTGGTGCTCTGATGCTCTGTCCCTGTGCTCTGTCCCTGATGCTCTGGTGCTGTCTCTGTGCTCTCTCCCTAATTCTGTCCCTGTGCTCTGTCCCTGTCCCTGTGCTCTGTCCCTGATGCTCTGGTGCTGTCTCTGATGCTCTGTCCCTGAAGCTCTGTCCCTGATGCTCTGTCCCTGTCCCTGAAGCTGTTCCTGGTGCTCTCTCTGTCCCTGATGCCCTGTCCCTGTCCCTGATTCTGTCCCTGTGTTGCAGGTGGAGGCCCTGACCCACCAGCCCAGAGCCACCACGGTGCACGCGGTGCGGGACTCGGAGCTGGCCAAGCTCCCCGAGGGGGCCCTGATCTCCATCAAACGCAAATTCCCCCAGGTAAGGGAATTAAAAGCATTTTCCTGTCTCTCTCCAAGGATGTCTGGGAGGCTCCAGCTGCCTGTTAGCACCACATCCTCTGGGTTTTCTGAGTGATTGATGAATTCTGAGGAAACATCGCGTGCTCCTTGTCTGCCTGAGCGGATCCATCCCAGACTTCCAGCAGCTTTCCTTGCTCTGTCCTCTCATCAATTGTAGCAGGTTTTTATTGCAGGGCTGCTTTGTGTATCTGGGAGGAGTTCTGCTTAAATGCAGGATGTTAGCAAAGTGGAAATCACTTAGTGCTACTGATGGGAAATGCAAGTTTGGCTTCTAAAATCCCTTAAAAAATGTTATTCATTCCTCCTCCTCCTGGGGCTCAGAGGAAGGGAAGTTATCTCCATCCCAGTTATCTCCATCCCAGTTATCTCTCTCACAGTTATCTCCAACTCAGTTATCTCCATCCCAGTTATCATCTCCATCCCAGTTATCTCCAAGGCTCCACCCTTGGTTCTCTGTACCTTTATTGCCACAGCTTTGATATTTGGGGGTGGGTTCCCTCTTCCTGCCATTTCATGTTGTCAATCCTCCTTCTGCAGCTGCCAAATCTGTCTGTCCTGAAGACTCTGATTGCTCTCTTGGAATCCATCAGCTCATCCATCTTCTTTAATTCACTTGACATTATATCTCTCTCCTGCAAATTTGGAGACTGACGGACTTGAAATTTAATTCTTTTGTCCCTAAGTGCATCAGGGACATTATACTAAGCACTAAATCATTGCATTGGCCTTACAGGCAATTCTTTAATGCTGTTACTTCACATTATTTCTGATTTGTCATTTTGCTGTCTTGAAGACCTAGGTTTTTTTTAAAATCAGCATTCTTTGAAAAAATCCTCCAAAAATAATAAACCTGATTTAAATACTTTAAATAAACCTGTTTTAAATTCTATTGCTTTCCTAGCACCTATAATAACTTTTTTTTTAAACTGTACAATATAAAACCTCAATTCAGGCATTTTCATAGTACCAAAATGGTGAAGTTTTTTCTGTGTTATTGCCAGAATTTAATTATGACAATAAGTGTTCAGAAGTTATGTCCATGAAAAATAATCTTTCTGGTTTCCCTGTAAAGATGATTTTTGCTGAAGTGTTTCTGAATTTCTGTTGGGGCTTATTAAGGCACTTCTGGTCCCTGGAACTCACTTGAACAGACCTGTGAGTTTATTCCTCTCCATTTAATGTGATTCCCTGCCCAGGTTCATGATCTGGGAGCTCAGTACAGAGCTCCCCACAAACTGGGGACATCCCAAACGTGTGACATCCACTGTGGGGCTGCTGTCAACCATCCCTGTCCTTGTGACTGACCCAGGAGGGAGGGAATGACTCAGGGAGGATACAAACCCACCTTTCTGCTTGTGTAGTGGGTGATTTTAAATGTAACTGCTAAACATACAGACTGTAAATTTCCAGTGTCACAGACTAGTTTGGGTTGGAAGGGACCTTAAAATTTATCCTGTTCCACCCCTGCCATGGGCAGGGAACCTTCCCCTAGACCTGGTTGCTCCAAGCCTATCCAGCCTGGCCTAAACACTGAGCAATGCCTTGAGCACTGCTCTGCACTAAGGCTGGGTTCTAATTCTGCCTCTTTATCTGGGGCAGGAATTTATTTCAGTGTCTCTCTTCCCTTTCTGCCAGCTGGCAGAGCTGTTTTCCCCTGAACAGTGATCTCTGTGGAGCTGTGAATCTCTTTGCTTTGCAGTTAAAATTGAGCTTGAGTGTTACATTTATAGCACAATTCAAAACATTTATTTGTATTAGAATTCAAACGTCTTCCCATGTATAAAGAGTAAAGCCCATCAGCCTCAAATTCCTGACCTTTTTCAGTATGGAATCAGTTTTCTCTAGAGTTGCCTATAGTCTGGCTGATTAGTTGCAATGAAACAAAATGCTAAAATAGATATTTTAAGGAAATGTGTTGCAACACAGGTTGTTAGAAAGACACATTCATGCTGCTGTGTGAGGTCTCGAAATTCTAAGTAGATGTTGAACTGGTGTAAAATGTGAGAACTTGCATTTTTTTTCCTATGGGATTGTTTTAGAACCCCACTAGAAATAGAAAGAGGAACATAAGATTGACTTTCTGTAGGTGATTTATGCAGTTAATGCCTTCAGACTGTCTTAAAAACTTTAGGTAAAATATTTTAATAAGATTTCATAGTCCTTGTGTGTTTTCTTTTTTGTCTGTTAAGTCCATCAGGAAATGCTTTGGGTTGGAAGGAACTTTAGGGCCCGTCCAGTGCCAGCCCTGCCATGGCAGGGACACCTCCCACTGTCCCAGGCTGCTCCCAGCCCTGTCCAGCCTGGCCTTGGGCACTGCCAGGGATCCAGGGGCAGCCCCAGCTGCTCTGGGCACCCTGTGCCAGGGCCTGCCCACCCTCACAGGGAACAATTCCCAATTCCCAATATCCCATCCAGCCCTGCCCTCTGGCAGTGGGAGCCATTCCCTGGGTCCTGTCCCTCCATCCCTTGTCCCCAGTCCCTCTTCAGCTCTCCTGGAGCCCCTCCAGGCCCTGCAAGGCCACACTGAGGTCCCCCCAAAGCTTCTCCTGTGCAGGTGAACAATCCCAGCTGTGCCAGCCTCTCCTCCCAGCAGAGCTGCTCCATCCCCTGATCCCCCTGGTGCCTCCTCTGGGTCTCTGCAGCAGCTCCAGCTCCTGCCTGTGCTGGGCCAGGGCTGGGGCAGCTCTGCAGGTGGGGTCTCACCTGAGCACAGGGCACAGGGCACAATCCCCCCTGCCCTGCTGCCCACAGTGCTTTGGATGCAGGTAAGAGAGGAAGGACAGAAGTGAGAGAGAATTGAAGTGATAGAGCAAAACTATAGGGTAGAAATTTGAGAGACAACCAGAACAGCCATAGTAAACTTTAAAGGATTTTACTGGAGAGAAATGCTTGAGCTGGAAACTGATAAATGTTGTGCAGAGGACAGGGAATGGTTCACTTGATTAGAAAAAGAATCCAGGCATTAGAGGATCAAAAGCTGCCCATGCCTGGACAGTGTCCCACAGTTGCAAAAACCCCTAAACTATGATAACAGAATGCTTTTTGGAGTGAAGAAATTCTGACATTCTCCTTGATGCTGGAAAAGCTTCAGCACCAGCCTTTGGCAGCACATCTGAAGGCAGAGGCAGACCAAAGGAGGAGAGTCTGGATCACAAGGAGGCAGCTGAGTGCTGGTTAGAAATACTGACCTATAAAGACAAAAAGCCCATAGAAGGTTAAGGGAAGACATGGTAGCTATTTTCAGATGTATAAAGTTGTCTTGTGCTGGAAAGGGCAGATGCTGCTCACCATACTGGAACAGAGCAACTGGGACTGAACTGAAATGGCAGCAATTGCAGTGAGAACAAGCTCATTCTGCTCTCCAGAAAGACTAAAAGATTGTTACTTGTTTTTATAACCTCTTCTAAAATGATCAGTGGAGTAATGCTTAGTGCTGAGCAGAGGGATGGACCAAATGAATTCTGTCCTATTTCCTTGGCTGTTATTCTAGGAGAGTGATTTATACACAGGGTTTATGATGTTGTTTTCCCCATTCAAGCAGAAGTAATAAAGTAATGAAGGGATAGCAGGTGCAATAGCTCTGAAATAATTGACTGGATAGCAAGAGCTGGCTGGTGATTCAGCAGAGGTGGAGGATTTCCCTCTGCAAAGCAGAAAAACACAGGGCAGAAAGCAGCTCTGCCTCTGTCAGCTCCATGCTCCTGCACTGCCTGCTGAGGGTGAGTTGGCATGAGTCTCACTTGGTGAACAATGATCAAAGAGAGGTGCTGGTCCCCAGGTCAGGTCAAATCCTCTCTTAGTTCAAGGGAGAACTGGATTTTTTGGTGTGCTTCTTGGCAACTTCTGCAGAGCCTGAATAGAGCGTGTGTGTGTTAACAGCCAAAAACTGGGCACTTCCTGAGCTTGGGTTTCCCTCTCAGTTTGTCACCCTTGAGCTTTACAGAACCAAGGAACCACAGAATGTCCTGAGCTGGAGGGACCCACCAGGATCATCAAATCTCACCCCTGTCCCTGCCCAGCCCCTGTCCCAGCAACCCCAGCCTGGGCATCCCTGGCAGCGCTGCCCAAAGGCTCCTGGAGCTCTGGCAGCCTCAGGGCCGTGCCCATTCCCTGGGGAGCCTGGGCAGTGCCAGCACCCTCTGGGGGAAGAACCTTGCCCTGAGCTCAGCCTGAGCTGCCCTGGCCCAGCCCCAGCCATGCCCTGGCTCCTGTCCCTGGCCCAGAGCAGAGATGGGAGCTGCCCCCTCATCAGGCTCCAGACAGTTCCTATGAAGGCTGAAAACCCCTTTATTTTAGGAATTAGTGGGAGGACTCCATCCTGCAGACTCTTCCCCAGCCATGCTGTGTTTGTAGGTGATCCAGGAAGGGTTCCAACTCTGGAATGCATTGTAAGGAAACATTACCTGGTGCGTAAGAAAATCGTAGGACGTGGGTGGTGCTTGCCAGTGAGAACTGTGTGAAATGAGGGAAATCGTGCTCTGTTAGTCCAGGCAGTCATTCCAGTTCCTTGAGCTGAGATGTACAATCTGGAGAAGTGCAATGGCTGATCCCTGGGGGAGATCCATGTGACTGCCTTCTGTTTTGTCTCCTGGAGAGCTGCTTTGGTCCTGGGAGAGACAGGAGCTGATCTGCTGGCATCTTCCAAGTGACCCACCATAGCTCAGGTTATTCTGAGGGCTGAAACAGATGGGTGAATGTGGGGAGCCTGACCTCAGTTATAAATAACAGCCAAAACTCCAGATTATGTGCCCAGAAACGACAGATGTTGATTTCTAGATCCTGCTCAGTCTGCAGAAGTCAAGCTTACATCGTGTGGCTTCTCAGGAAAGCATCTCAACCTTGATTCACTCTGGATGTGGAATCCTAGACATTCCCAATGGAAAGTGGTCCATGGTGCCAAACTTAATGCTTCTGTCCACCCTGCTTCCCCCTGCTCTCCTGCACAGCCCTCAGGGTTCT